TTTCGATCCCAGTTTGTACGTGCCCATTCAAGTCCTTCTCCACCACTACGCCTCCATCCGCACAGCTGATTCCCCGATAAGAACTCTACGACCGTACAAGTGACGATTTTCATGCTTTTCGTCCTGCAGCTTCGTTTTTCACTGAAAGGCGGGCCTTGGAGGCGGAGTCTGGAGGCGGAGTCACTGGAAAAAAGGAGGTGTCCTATATTGCGCTATAGCGCCTAACTTTTACAATTTTTTGCCGCGAAACCGATACGAAGTTGTTCGTTGCGCCCCACACTCCCTCGGGGACCATATTTTCAACTTCTATACCTGACCGCGGACCGTGCCTTCGAAGGAGTTGCTCTACTAGCTCCTAATACTGTGCTTTTACGAATCTAACTCGAATCGCTTTTGTAGCGAAAAATCCCCTTACCGATGACAAGTATTTCAGATTGGTGTACTCATCGATAGTCTCTCTGGTGATATCGATATCCCCTTGAGCAACATTGCAGTGCTGAAGTGCAGGTGAGATTCCGACGACACTCATCTGGCATCCTGAAATGCGTTGAAGTTAAACACTGCAGGCATGAGACTCAGTGTGCAAAGTTCCCATGTCAGATTCACTCACTTGTAGTTTGTATGTGGATAGTGGAATTTTTGTGTTCTGTTCGATCTCCCAAAATGGATACTTGGAATCGTTCCTAGAATAATGAGTAGGAGGGCTTGCTCAGGGAAGTATGGACATGGGTGGAACTAGACATGTGGCTGGGCATCACAAACTCAGAGGAGCGAGCTGACCTGAGGCTAGACCTCAACAGGAGCGTAAGATGACCTCTGGCTCATCTACTGCCTGCGACCCCACTAGAATGGCTCATCCAGAAATTGTTTGTGAACTTTCTTCCATCAAATAACCCGCTAATGATTCCTTTCATAGCTTTTCCACTTGCTTAAGGCCTTGCGATGTTGTTAGCTAGAAGAGATACAGCTAATGTCGTCGCAGTCCGGAAGGGCGATACAAGGAGGGGTGGAAGAAATCCGTTCTCCACCAATAGTGGCCTGGTAGAAAACAAACAGGTCGAAAACGCTGCAGTTGAGCTCATTTCTTAACTCCTGACAGTGCCCCATCGAATTGCGACAAAACCAATGTAGCGATATAATTGACTATCCCTGAGCCTCATATGTTGTAATATTTCTTGTGAGATTGAGGTGATTGACGACATGGTAGGTTTGCAGCCATACCCTCCCATCTATGGAATAGGGGTTGTGTAACGTGTATAGAAAGGGAAAAATCTGCGATGCGAAATACATCTCTCACTAGTGAACCACCCTCCTTCAGTGACCAAACAGGACTCCCTTAATAGGGGCTCGGCGCAGCGATGGCTCCACAGTCGCTGCTTCACAAATGATTGTTGCCTTCTCAGGTCAGGTAAAAAATATGAATGGGTTCGTCTCAGCTTTGATACTTTTCTATCGAAATGCTGACCAGGAAAGGTCGAACAGGTCAGCCTGGCTATTTGCACTTGAGATGAAACTCAACTGTAACCCACCTGGCACGTTTGAGCTCATTTGAACTGTCTTCAAAATTTGGAACGATATTTTGAGCAGCTGTATGGAGGTTTTCCTTCACGTATTTTCTTCTAACAGCGGGCGCTAGGCCGCAAGCGTTTGCCACACGTAGCCGCTCTTCGGCACTGCGCTCTCACGCAAAACAGGTATCACATTCGTGTCCAGAGAGGTCAATACCCGAGGGACGTCACTCGTTAGTCATAAATCTGAGCTTTCTGGACTCAAACTTCGGAAAAAATGGGTTATGGATAGTCCATGTTTATGTCTTCTTCGCAATGACAGTACTGGGCTTATTATTATTGTGCGTCTGCATCATTTCTCACTGACTCATTTGAGAATTGGCCATTCCGAACCCAGTCATCGATGGTAGGTGAGCTCCAATCTGCTGCTAATTACCCATGGAATAGCCCACATTTTCCAAGTGAGGTCGAAAAATCAGATTCGGAATAGAAACTTGGCCGGGGGGGGGTAATTTAGAGCCGCTGAACACGAATATGATGGTATTTCATTGCAATAACCCTCGTAACTGTGTTCAGGAGGGACACCAGCACCAGCCTATTCCAAGCCACAATGGTCTACACTTTGAAAAAAAACTGATCGCAGGTTCCCTTATAGGGTAGTGCAGGCGAGCAGAGATGTTAGAAGCTTTGTCGGCTATGTTCTTGGACAAATGCAAAAAAGCGACCCACGCACAAGACGCGTCTCGCCTAAAGAGCCGGCTGCTCCTACCCGTTGAGCTTTGCTACACATTTCAGAAGCGACTGCAATACATACAGGGGGGGGGGCAAAAAGTCTTTTTCTTCTCGGACTGTCCGAGGCGCTATAAGTTACACTTTATTAAATTATTATCGGACATTTCTACCACCATATTAAAGAGCATATCAAATACTATCATGATACTCCGCCACAGCCTTCTGGAGGAGCGCCATCGAGAGATTCTGCCACGCGACCGTCAGTGGGTGCGTGAGTTCAGCGAGATCGTTGATTTCTCCGCCACTGTAGACCACCCTATTTAACTCTCGGAGTCAGCGTAAGTGAGGGGGGTTTTAGGTCAGGTTACCTGGTGCTTAATATTTCCTACTTCTCTTCAGATACTTCAACGCCTTCCATTACAAGTAGGTTCAGAGTTTCCAACTGCCCCGCCTTCGTATTTCATGTGGTGGCACTCAAATGCTGTAGCAGACAAGAGTTTCCAGAGAAGGTAACGGGCGATCACAATGTAAGGAGGCTAGTTCTTTCCACGCGAGTTGCTAATGTAACCGCCAGCGCTCACCTTTAGTCCGGGGCCCACGAAGAAAATATCGGTCTCTCCATTCCAGGTACGTCCGGTCCCCACCATCAACTGGCGCCTTGGCGACTGAGGTGAAGATGATGTCCTAGACCGTGGCTTTTACGGCAGCTGTTCAATGAAGAGAGTGATTTCCAGATCGAGAGTACTGCTCTCCAGGTAGCTATTTATGGGTGACTCCATACTAGAAGTTTCGCAGCTGTTTGGAGGTGACATGAATTCCGAAGGTCTTCTCCAGTCAGGTTGCGGCTGGAGATGACTTCATATTTTGGTGTACATGAAGGTGATGGGCGAGCGCCAGCTCCTGCTTATAGAGGAACATCTTGGGTATCTTCCGCCCTGGTACTCGTATCCACGTCCTCTGTCTGGGCTGCGAAAACTTTGCTGATATGTGACTCGGTCGAAATGTCTTTTTTTTGCCCCCCCCCTGTATACGAAATCCCTGAGATCGGGGAGGCGTGGCCCCTGAAGGTGCCTGTGCTTATTGTGAGATATTTTCATCTTGACACAATTTTTGTCGAGTCTGTCCAACAAGGAGCGAATGACGAGTAACCAATCCCGTGCTATGTTCAAAATGACACACGCCTACTCCTGCTCGACGGATGAAGGAGGGTATGCTAAAGACGTTTCCACGTTTCCTCGCGATAGGGTGAAACGATCATGACGAAAGTAAACTACCCTCCCATAACTCCTTTCAGAATCGTTCTGCAAATTTTGAAGACAGTTCTGAGTTCACCGTCCCAAGACGCGTACAACGATGTGCAGCTCATTGGAAATGGGCGGGCTGACCTGATGACCTTTCCTGGTGAGCTTAATTGCAAGATTACCTCCAAAACCTGGGAGATATGTAGTTTTGAATTGTCAGATATTAAAACGTGATCCCCAACACTTTGCAGGGATTTCAGCATGGGCATATGGATATACGCCAGGTGTACGTTACTTCTAATGTCGATAGCTGGTCTTTCTGAAAAATGTTATGTGAAAATGGTGAAAAGTGTTATGTGAAAATGGTGAAAAATATTATGTGAAAATGGTGATAGTTACTTTGTGGTCCAAGCAGCTAACCGAACCGACCTGAGGTAACAAGAAAAGGAGGTAAACTGTTTTTCAGTAAGCAAAATCTTGGATTGCGGTTTACTCCCGCAGAATCGTGGGTCTGTAATTCAGGCCAAACTAAAACTGTTTTGAACCCACTGGAAGTATTCTCGATGACCTCGAGCGCTGGCAGGCTGATATCTCTCCAAGTGGAATTTATCACTGATATCATTCCATAGATGATTTTAATATGGGTCATAGCAAGCTGAATAATAAAAGCTAAAAAATAAGCTTTTTAGCGTTATTCAATCCACTCTGGGATATGCCACGCATTCCACTTCTATTAGGGTGTCCACAAAGTTCGTTGGCCATTCGTTTTTTCAGAGCTGGTAAAGATATCTCACCAAGTTGAACTTACCGGTCCATGATATAATCTCCATGCATACCCACTACCTTTCGCCAACGATCGGGTAGAGAGGCAACTCCATCCTCCCAAAAGCTGGCCGGCCGCGACTCGGCCCAGTCCTCGATCACGTCCTCGAGGTCGCGCTCGTTCTTCAGCTGTTTTCCGTCCAAGAAATTTTGCATGGACCGGAAGATGTGGTAATCGCATGGACTAATGTCCGGGCTATACGGTGGATGCGTGATCGTCTTGATGCCCAGCCTGTCCAGGACGGCCTGAGTATCTCTCGCTTTGTGGGGGCGCGCGTTGTCTCAGAGCAACCACGGATTTGCAAGTTTCTGGGACAAGGCGGCAGCTTTCACCTTGACCTCCTGCAATTCTTTAGAGAGGGTCTCTGCCGTCACTGTGGCATTGTTGGGTAGGATGCTGTAGTGGACGACGCCGTGGCGAGAGAACCAGAAACCTCGGCATATCTTCGATGCCATAGTTTTCATTGGTGAAGCGAGTCCACCATTTTGACATCCAGTTCTTAGAAGGGGTGTTATCACCAAACTGCTGACGCATCCTGGTCGTGGCCTGACGTCTGGAGATGCCCAGGTTGAGATAGCCCATCGCGAGTACTTTCAGTATTGCGAAATCTTTATGCAAAATCACAACGCGTTGCGTAACGCGACGCTGTTTACAAATGGCCAACGAACTTTGTGGACACCCTAATAAAAGGTTAAAGTGACCCTACGTAAGCAGTTTGGCCTAGACCTCAATTTGGAGAGCTCATCCGTGGTTTGGAACTCATCCATGGTTGAGGTGTGATAAGTGCTGAAGCCTCCTCTCACTACACCACTTCCAACATTGGAGGAGGATTCTACATTTGTCCAGGCCCATGCCAGAAGGTGGGTGAATACTTTCTCCTTCGAGTTCCACAGATCCACTATCCATCTTTCCCACCAAAGCTTACAGACAACTTGTAGGACCTCTCAACTAGGAATGTCTTGGTATGGATGAGCGAAATCTGACAATGAGATCAGTGAACTACACAAAAAGACGTCCTGCACCCACTCAATTTTTCAATTAAGGTGTTCAAGAAACCTTCAAATTGTCGGGAACAGAGCTATCTATGATCATATCTCCGTTGAACACAACACATCGTCCCACAACTCGCACTGGTTGCTTGTCTTCTATAAGTTTCTTTGCCATTTTCTGGAGGATGGCCATGTTGCATTCTGAAGAAGACCGGAGCAGTTAGGAAACCAAGCAG